CTAAGGAAAATGAACTTTCACACAAAATTTATTAATATTATTAGCTCTCTGTTTAGCTCTCAAACAGCATATATTACAGACTCTAACCTTATCTCAGAGCCTATAAGAGTAGAAAGAGGAGTTCGCCAGGGTGATCCCTTGTCTCTGCTACTATATATACTAGCTCTTAATCCACTAATTCTTAAAATTTAGGAAGAAATTAGTGGGATTCAAGTTATGCAGCAACATTTTAAAGCTATAGCATATGCTGATGACTTAACCATAGGAATTGGCTCCTCTACAGATTGGGAAACTCTTTTATCACTGCTGCAAAAATATGAAATGGCCACAAACTCTAAAATCAATAGAAAAAAATCCATTCTAGTTCCTATAACAGACACTGCTCAATCAACTAGTTTATTAAATCAAAATCTTTTCAAAGTAGCAGATAACAAGACACCTCTTAGGATTTTTGGATATGAAGTAAATAATAAAGGAACAGCCAGAAAGCACCTGTAGGAAGATCTTACTCAAAATATCAAGAATAGAATCGAGAAGATTGCAGCTAGAAATCTCTCCTTTAAGGGGAAAATTCTGCTAGCAAAGTCCTTATTTATATCAAAGATCTGGTATCTGGCGTACCTTCTTCCACCTAAAAGAAAGCAACTTAACAAAATTACCAATATCATTTCACAATAGATAAAGGACAAATCAAAGTTATTACCCAGATTTTCAACGTATCAACTAGATTACAATAGGGGGAGACTGGATGCTCCAGTTCTTAAAGATATACTTGATTCTAGGCTAGTTTCTGTCTGGGTTAAACTTTTGACTACAGATAATACATGGCCAAGATTGAGAGAGGTATAATCTCTCAGAGACTCCAAAGCAAAAGAAACATTTCTGTAGTAACGGCCTTAACAAGATCCCCAATCAAGCTTAAAGGATGGCCTGATAATTGGAAACCATACCTAGTAGCTTGGAAAAGACTCAAAGGTTCTATAATGGCTACAAATGAATGGCCATGGAACATTTCTCAACTAGAGATTCATGAACAAACAGGTAATAACTTCACAGTTAAAAAAGCAGCAGACTATTTAAAACAATCTTCGAGCAAAGGTATCTTGAATAAAAAGAAAGTATCTTTTAGAGACTACAGAATCAAGCACTTCCACTAGGGTACCGACTTATGCATATAAGTAGAGAAATAGATGGAAGCTGCCTTA